TAGCTCAATCTTTTTTGAACATGGGATCGATCCATTTTATTTTGAGGTTCAACAAATTTTAAACTTACGGCGGCATTTTGCAAACCAAACTGAGGCTTTAATAAGAGCTTATAGACATTGATTGTCAAAGTAAACAAATGTTCTTCCCATCAGTCCTGCTATACAGTTCGCTCTGTTAACACTCCATCGTAGTTCACTTTGTTGTGGTTGTATAAAACTGAACTCCTGATTACATCCATATCCCGACCTCTTTTCCGATCATAGTATGCTCTCCAGTGTAACCCCGTCCTCGATATCCAGGGGTTACGCTCACTTTCGCTCTCTGCGCCCCTGGAATATGTCATAGCAAAATTGAAGGCTCAGTGTGCAGCACCTTGTTGATGAAACAAGAAGACTAGTTTGATCCTTTGATGTACATCAAAAGAATCTCGCGGTCGCGTAACGGTAAAAATTGACAGGCTTTGAAGTCGGGCGTCTCTCTTTTGTGATCTTCAAAGGACAGGTATCAGCCTAGCGATTGGTCAGGGTTTTTTTTTACCTTAGACCATTCGCTAGGCTGATATCTTCGTGCCTTCAATTTTGCCATGTCATATTCCAGAGGTGTAGAGAGCGAAAGTGAGCGTAACCCCTGGCTATCCAGGATGGGGTAACCCCCTGCTACTTTCAGAAAGCTTCTTTTTTCACTCTATTTTATTAAAAGGAAGTTGCTTTTGTTTGCATGGAACGACATTGTTACCAAATATTGATACATTAGGTATGCATATCGAGGAACCACGGATTTTATTTATCAAAGAATGGATTTTACTGAAAGAAAAGAACAATTCTTTGCTTCGGGTGTTGTCTCCCTTTGTACTAGTTTGCCTGTTGTGATTTAAGCATTTAACATCAGTTAGCATTCTGATGATGGGCAAAGTGAATGCCAACTGGACAAATGTCAATCCAACATGAAGCGTGTGCAAGCGCTTCAGGTTGGATTCGCCTTTGTCCAGTTGCCATTCATATTGCCCATGAATGCTGTCTGTCAGCAGTTGATGTTCGATTCTTATCTTTACTGTTTTAAAACCTACTTGCTTCATAGAAACCCCAATGACACTTATCATTATTCAGCATTTTTAGTTCAAATAGTGTATGCATCGTGTAAGGTTGTTCAATGAACAGAACAGTCATCGCCCAGGGAGGGTCAGTGTTATCCAACGTAAAAATTACGACGCCATAATTATAATGATGTGAACAATCGACCGGTGGCATTCATAACCGAAATGAATGCAGTCTGAATGTGGTAGGATTATATAGTGGCTACCCCATACAAGGTAGTAGATATAAATGAATGTGACTACTTCAGGTGGCGTATAACATTGTACAATCGAGATTGCTGGTTCAACGACAACAACCAAAACTGTTGTAAAGTGCTAATATGTAAAACTGAACAAATATATAACCTATACAATATGCCCATGGTCGTTGTTTATTTCAGGAAGTGATACCGCCATGCCATGGATACATTATATAAATATACGGAATCGTTGAAAGCATAGTGTTAACTATTGTGCCACTGCTTCCTGCCATTTTTTCCCCCTGGCTCCCAAAGATGAATGTTTCAGGACCCGTATTCATGGAACCGTTCTCGTGCTCAAGTATGGATTCTGTGCTCAAACTGTCTGTCTTGGCCAAGAACAGGAAAACTTGTTCATAGGTCACACTTGATCATTCTGTAAATAAATCTAGGGACTTAGTTTCTGGATTTTTGATAAGTGTAAACATCAAAAACGGTATTCAGCCCAGAGACTTTCCCAAATTCTTCCAGATTATTGACAGATGGTAATTTCTCATAAATTTATCACTGAAATAAGCAATTGGGCTCAAGAACAAAATCTGATTTTGAGCCGGAGGACAACTTCATGATTACGAGACCAGAAAGTTGAGACATGGTTTGTATATTAGGACCTTGTCGTGGTGAGTAGATTTATTTAAACTCCTTGGTGTTGGATTTGTAAGAATTGAAAGATAATATTTGTTGGCATTTATTTGACGAAAAGGTGAAAGCCACTCTGATCTACCAGTGTATACAGTCAATCAATAGTGGGTAATGAAACTATGATGAAAGTGTGATTGCTTACTTTGAGTTTTATCAAGAATCTCACAGATGTCAACCCTCCCTTATTAGGAGGGAGACTCCCTCATTTTGACCAAAATTTACCAATCTTTCTCAAAACTCCCTCATTCAAGTCCAAACTCACACAAACTCAAAATCTACATTCTATGGTCAAATGATCTCCTAGTTACCGCAGGGTGTGTGTAATGATCATGACAGATGTGTCTGAACCAAATGAATGCCTTTAGGAGTAATTCTGATACATAAAAAGGGAAAGATAAATTTAGCAAAGCAGTTTCAGTCACGTTCACGTTTCAGGCACTTTCTCCCTCATTGAAAATGTGGAATGAGGAAGATCTCCTTCATAGGAGGTTTCAGAGGCTGACACCTCTCCATGTAACAAAACTATCATAAAGTAATTTAAATCCACGATGGAGTTAAAGTAAGATTTGAATTTTTTCTTCAAGTGACAACTTTGATTTTTCATTCCTATGTAGAAAAAGTTCCATACTGACCTGACAAATTTATTAGCTCACCTGGCCCTTATGCCATGGTGCAGCGTCCGTTTCCCTAAACTTTTCCCTTTAAAACGCTACTTGTCCTTAACGGCTCAGAGGATTTTGACCAAATTGGGCTGGAGCATCATTGGCCAAAGGGTTCTCAGTTTTGTATAAACGGAGGGTATGGTCCCCCTGGGGACTGAGGGGCGGGGCCAAATAGGTAAATCATTAAAAATCTTCTCCTTCTTAACAAACAGAAGGATTTTGACCAAACTTGTTCTAGAGCATGCCACATACAACATTTAGACGTAATCCATTTGTTATATGGTTAAAATCTCAAAAAATAAAACAAAACTTTCACATTATAAAGTGCACCAAATTTTATTTTTGAATTTCATCATTTGTTATCAAAATCTCAAATAAACAAGCTTGACAACAAAACATTGGATGATCAGAGTTATACTCCATGACAATCAACAGCTGTGCGAGACCTGTGATCTAATCAACACAATCAACACAATATCAGAGATTCTCCCACCAAAATCTGCAGCAACCAACAACAGTTGTTATAGTGATTAAATTGTATTTCTCATGACTCAGTATACCTATAGTGTGTAAACAACAACTGATCTTAGTCGTCAGCAAAGAACGACAGGGCCCACTTGTATAAAACATCTCAAAGTTAAGGAAAAACCCGAGCAATGTATTGTCTATGGGAAATCTTAGACTTGAGGAAATCTCAAGAGTTGAGATGTTTTATAAAAGTGGGCCCGGTTGTAATACAGTTAATTCTGTTACAACAGTTACAGTAAACAACAGTTACAGTAAACAACTGTTACAGTAAACAACAGTTACAGTAAACAACAGTTACAGTAAACAAATGTTACAGTAAACAACAGTTACAGTAAACAACAGTTACAGTAAACAAATGTTACAGTAAACAACAGTTACAGTAAACAACTGTTACAGTAAACAACAGTTACAGTAAACAACAGTTACAGTAAACAACAGTTACATGCCCTTTAGTCTGAAGTAACCAACAACAGTTATGGCCATCAAACCCTTTTATAGATATATTTTCAATCACCAAAATATGGAATGATCAATGACAACATTTGTCTATAAACAACAGATGTCGACACCAAAACCTGCAGGAATAAACAACAAATTGTTACACTTCATAAGTATATTTTTTGATTTGGTGAAGTCAACCTGTTTAAAACAAAGCTGTCGGCACCAAAACCTGCGCCAATCATCAACAAATACAGTCATCACACATCATAATAAGATTTTGAGTACTGTAAAAATGTTTATTTAACTCATTCACACCTAAAGACACATTTGAACTCTTCCAATTCAAATGTTGGAACAGTTCATTATGAAATTGCAGGGATGAATGAGCGAAAGGACTCAAATTGTACTGGATTATCATTTTTAATAGATTAACCCAATGAAGATTTTGCGCACCCACAAAATATGCTATAGAGAAGATACATGAAGTCAACTGGCATGTTGATATTTAAGTGCAAAAATCAAAGCGTGAAAAGCGCTAAAATAGGACTACCACTAAAATAGGTATGTTTACAGTAAGTGCAGTCAACCTGTGTTATAAACAATAGTTAATGGCACCAAAATCTACAGCTATCAACAACAGCCTCATTTCTACACAGAATAAATACATTTTTACATAGGTGTAATGTAATACCTTTTAGAATACTTTAGAAGTTAGCATGTTAAATAAATTAAGCATTATATTTTCGAGATTACAACCAAACTTTACACACTATATACACCAAATCCAGACTTCCTATTTAACTGTAGTAGGACAAGGAATAGTGATAAAGATAGTGCCATTGCCAGGGCTCGAACCCGCAACCATTGGCTCTCCAGCCCGATGCTCTACCGCTGAGCTAAAGGGAAATTCCCTACAGCTGATGCTTGAAAGGCAACCTAATTAATGCACATCTTTAACACTATTCCCCCCTTTTTTCAAACTCCAACCCAGGTTCTATGACTCCCTGCCGAGTGTTCTCCTAACGTGTGAGAAAATCATAACAAGCATTTTCATTGGCTGATATAAAGGTGATGACCTTTGTATGAACTTTGATATTTTGTTAACTTTGACTGTATAAAAAATGTTACAATCATCACAATGACTAACACTGTCATACTACTGTTAGATTTTATAATATCAAAATAATTCTGTAGTTATTTTCTTTGATCTCGAGTTACACATAAATAGGCTACTACTTAGAGATAATGTAATATTTATCTTACTGGCAGAAACAGGTCATAACCAGTGTTGTTTGCATCAGATTTGTTATAAAGTACTCTTCAAAGTTATATTTAAATATTGTTTGTTAATTTCAACATTTTAATTGACTGTCAGCAAAACCTTGTCTGTTTTGAAAACATGTCAAGCCATCAGTGATAGCATAGCGTGTACATGTACTAGGTAGTTACTAGACATACACTATGATATGTATATTTGAGGTCATTCAAACAATTACAAATCCTCCTCATTTAATAAATGCCCACTTTTTTAACATATTGAGTATCAAACTTCCTTTAAATTTTAAGATATTTTCGGTATTTTGAGGGTGAAATGATAATCATACCTAATGGAATACAACAAATGAAAACATGTGAGATGGGAATCCAACATGTGAAACAATACCGACAAGATGAGTATCCAACATGGGAAACAATACCGACAAGATGAGAATCCAACATGTGAAAACATGCAGGCAAGATGAGAATCCAACATGTGAAAACATGCAGGCAAGATGAAAACCCAAAATGGGAAAACATGCAGGCAAGATGAAAACCCAAAATGGGAAAACATGCAAGTGATATGGAAATCCAGCATGTTGTGCAGTATGCGTATTGGCCAGTATAACTTTAAGTCTCGCCGTTTGGAGTTTCATAGTCCATCTATCACCCATTATTCTCTCAGACTGCCCCATTCCCCAGGGTTCTGCACACCCAAGGGATGTTCTTGATTCTTCAGTAGGACATTTGTCAGCCAGGTGTTATCTTTAATTGTTTTCAGCACATTTCATATCAACTGGTGCACAACATTTGCCCTGAAAGTACAAATACATAGTTGTATATTAGTGGTGTACATATATATAGTGGTACATATATATAGTGGTGTACATATATATAGTGGTGTACATATATATAAGGGGAAATAACTTGATGTATGTCAGGATATAGCTTAGGAAGGATAACTTGGTATAGTAAGGTAGATAAACATTGAGATTACCAAAGGGAGGTTATTAAATGTACAAAGGGATATTACAAAAGGGAGATATTTTAAATGTACAAAAGGATATTACAAAAGGGAGATAATTAAATATACAAATGAGATATTACCAAAGGGATATAATTAACTGTTCAAAGAGAGATTACCAAAGGGAGATAATTAACTGAACAAAGAGATTACCAAAGGGAGATAATTAAATATTCAAAGGGATATTACCAAAGGGAAATATTTTAAATGTGCAAAGGGATATAATAAAAGGGAGATAATCAAATGTTCAAAGGGATATTACCAAAGGGAGATAATTCACTGCACAGCGGGAGATTACTAAAGGGAGCTTATTAAATGTACAAAAGGAGATAATTAGGTGTACAAAGGAAGATGTAAAAGAGGATTAGGTTGTTATTTATTGACAAGATAAGTATGGGTATAGTAAATTGATACATTAACTAAAGGGAAATAACTCTGCATTGGATGACAGGTAAGATATGTTGCTGTACAATGGTAGATGACGAAGGAAATTTAACTGTATATTACAGAAAATGATTGAGGGGAGATAATTCAGTGTACGTACGTAGGGGGTGCGTTCCCCAAACTTGCTCCAGAAGGTGACCGTGGAAGAGGTACTATGTCCAGTCTTCTCATCAAAACACTGACACTCATCAAACGCTGGACTGTAGAGGTGGAGGGTCACAGCTTTGTCCGAGTGACTCGGGTTCTCTACTCGGTGTAGTCCAAGCTCGTCTACAACACAACATGTAAAACATCAGGATGACACATGTAGTAAATTAACAATGTACCTCATCAAAACAGAGTGGCTAACAGGAACAAGGAGTTATAGACAGCAAAACAGAGTGGCTAACAGGAACAAGGAGTTATAGACAGCAAAACAGAGTGGCTAACAGGAACAAGGAGTTATAGACAGCAGTACTTGAGGGAAGCAGTTAAGGGATCTAAATATAACACTATCCCAAGTCAGTGATTTTTTGTAGATTTTTTCCATCAAAATTTGTAGAGGAGTCTCATTACTTAGAGATATAATGAGTCCTCAAAAAGTTGATGAGTCCCATAGGAAAAGACCGGGACCAGGACTGTAATATTTGTGTGGAAAAATTAACTGTTTAAATTCAGTGTAAGTTCAAGGTAGAAGACTTTTAACACAGCATTTATTCAAGAACAGAGACTAAATAAAACACTGCATCAAAAACATTGGTCAACTTACCACAGATGTATCAACTTACCACAGATGTATCAACTTACCGCAGATAGGTCAACTTACCAGATAGGTCAACTTTCCTCAGATAGGTCAACTTCCCACAGATAGGCCAACTTACCATAGATAGGTTAACTTACCACAGATAGGGCAACTTACCACAGATAGGACAACTTCCCCCAGATAGGTCAACTTACAACAGATAGGTCAACTTAACACAGATAGGTCAACTTATCTCAGATAGGTCAACTTACCCCAGATATATCAACTTACAACAGATAGGTCAACTTAACTAAGATAGGTCAACTTACCATCGATAGGTCAACTTACCACAAATAGGTCAACTTACCATATATAGGGCAACTTACCACAGATAGGACAACTTCCCCCAGATAGGTCAACTTAACACAGATATATCAACTTACCACAGATAGGCCAACTTACCACAGATGTATCAACTTCCCACAGATAGGTCAACTTCCCAGATATATCAACTTACCCTAGATAGGTCAACTTACCACAGATAGGGCAACTTACCACAGATAGGTCAACTTACCAGATATATCAACTTACCTCAGATAGGTCAACTTACCAGAGATAGGTCAACTTACCACAGATGTATCAACTTACCACAGATAGGTCAACTAACCACAGATATATCAACTTACCACAGATGTATCAACTTACCACAGATAGGTCAACTTACCACAGATGTATCAACTAACCACAGATAGGTTAACTTACCACAGATATATCAACTAACCACAGATAGGTCAACTTACCACAGATATATCAACTTACCACAGATGTATCAACTTACCACAGATAGGTCAACTAACCTCAGATATATCAACTTACCACAGATGTATCAACTTACCACAGATAGGTCAACTAACCTCAGATATATCAACTTACCACAGATGTATCAACTTACCACAGATAGGTCAACTAACCTCAGATATATCAACTTACCACAGATAAGTACACTTACCACAGATAGGTCAACTTACCACAGATAGGTCAACTTATCTCAGATAGGTCAACTTACCACAGATGTATCAACTAACCAAAGATAGGTTAACTTACCACAGATATATCAACTAACCACAGATAGGTCAACTTACCACAGATAGGTCTACTTACCACAGATAGGTCAACTTACCATAGATAGGTCAACTTACCACAGATAGGCCAACTTAACACAGATAGGTCAACTTATCACAGATTGGTCAACTTACCACAGATATATCAACTTACCTCAGACAGGTCAACTTACCACAGATAGGTCAACTTATCTCACATAGGTCAACTTACCACAGATGTATCAACTTACCACATATAGGTCACTTACCAGATAGGTCAACTTACCATAGATAGGTCAACTTACCACAGATAGGTCTACTTACCACAGATAGGTCAACTTACCACTGATGTATCAACCTACCTCAGATTTATCAACTTACCATAGATAGGTCAACTTACCACAGATAGGTCAACTTAACACAGATAGGTCAACTTATCACAGATAGGTCAACTTACCACAGATATATCAACTTACCTCAGATAGGTCAACTTACCGCAGATATATCAACTTACCACAGATAGGTCAACTTACCTCAGATAGGTCAACTTACCACAGATGTGTCAACCAGATATATCAACTTACCACAGATATATCAACTTACCTCAGATAGGTCAACTTACCACAGATATATCAACTTACCTCAGATATATCAACTTACCTCAGATAGGTCAACTTACCACAGATGTATCAACCACAGATATATCAACTTACCTCAGATGTATCAACTTACCATAGATAGGTCAACTTACCACAGATAGGTCAACTTCCCACAGATGTGTCAACCACAGATATATCAACTTACCACAGATAGGTCAACTTACCACTGATGTATCAACTTACCACAGATAGGTCAACTAACCACTGATGTATCAACCTATCTCAGATTTATCAACTTACCTCAGATAGGTCAACTTACCACAGATAGGTCAACTTAACACAGATATATCAACTTACCTCAGATAGGTAAACTTACCACAGATATATCAACTTACCACAGATGTATCAACTTACCACAGATAGGTCAACTTACCACAGATAGGTCAACTTACCTCAGATAGGTCAACTTACCACAGATGTATCAACTTACCACAGATGTATCAACTTACCACAGATAGGTCAACTTACCAGATAGGTCAACTTACCACAGATATATCAACTTACCACAGATAGGTCAACTTACCACAGATGTATCAACTTACCACAGATGTATCAACTTACCACATATAGGTCAACTTACCATTTAGGTCAACTTACCATAGATAGGTCAACTTACTACAGATGTATCAACTTACCACAGATGTAGGCTGTCTCATTTTTCTTGAACTTTTGTGTCTCAATGTATTTCATCTGCGTCTGCTCATCAGAGGACTGATTTGGCCACTCGAAGCGTTGCTCCTGGACACTACCATCCAGGACCTTCATAAAACAATGGGAGTTTGCGTGAGAGTGTATACTGCTTCCCTGGGACTCGTTCCAGCATAACAACATCAGGTTAAACTTTCCGTTGCCTTCGTCCACGAGGTTCCGTGTGTATCTGTGAACACAAATTTGAATCAAGTTTAATGTTTTGCTGCCCTTGTCCTCCAGGTTCTGTGTGATTTTCTCAACACATAGTTGAATTATGGAATAAATTAATTTATTTTATTTTTTACACAAAAAGTTTACGGAAGTCGTTGTGTCACATGCCATCAGTTGCCACCATTTCTGATCAATTTACAGATTTTGGTCAAAGTCCAACTTGAGCAGATAATTGATATTAAATAGGCATGTGTAGAACATTTCTTTGAAATAAGTTATTGCATGGAGATTACTCGCGCAGACAACAACACTATCATAGTGATCCAAGTATGGCACCTTTCCTTCGAAGGTAAACAAGAATTGCAAATTAAGTATAAGTATTATAAACTTGAAGTGAAATAAGTCGCTTGATTTTGCTAGCCTTGATACGAAAGAATGGAGGGGATCTTTATGCGAGACAAGAACCAGAGAACCTGGAAAACCCAATTTGTATAAACCTTTTTATGTCGTACTGAGGAAGCAAACCCAGCTATCTTGGAGAAAGGCAGGTGTACTATTGACGACGTCTCCTGACCACCCTATCAGAGGTGGTCTGGCAGTGTATTATACAGCGTCTCCTGACCACCCTATCAGAGGTGGTCTGACAGTGTATTATACAGCATCTCCTGACCACCCTATTAGAGGTGGTCTGGCAGCGTATTATACAGCGGCTCCTGACCACCCTATTAGAGGTGGTCTGTTAGTGTATTATACAGCGTCTCCTGACCACCCTATTAGAGGTGGTCTGGCAGTGTATTATACAGCGTCTCCTGACCACCCTATTAGAGGTGGTCTGGCAGTGTATTATACAGCGTCTCCTGACCACCCTATTAGAGGTGGTCTGGCAGTGTATTATACAGCGTCTCCTGACCACCCTATTAGAGGTGGTCTGGCAGTGTATTATACAGCGTCTCCTGACCACCCTATTAGAGGTGGTCTGGCAGTGTATTATACAGCGTCTCCTGACCACCCTATTAGAGGTGGTCTGGCAGTGTATTATACAGCGTCTCCTGACCACCCTATTAGAGGTGGTCTGGCAGTGTATTATACAGCGTCTCCTGACCACCCTATTAGAGGTGGTCTGGCAGTGTATTATACAGCGTCTCCTGACCACCCTATTAGAGGTGGTCTGGCAGTGTATTATACAGCGTCTCCTGACCACCCTATTAGAGGTGGTCTGGCAGTGTATTATACAGCGTCTCCTGACCACCCTATTAGAGGTGGTCTGGCAGTGTATTATACAGCGTCTCCTGACCACCCTATTAGAGGTGGTCTGGCAGTGTATTATACAGCGTCTCCTGACCACCCTATTAGAGGTGGTCTGGCAGTGTATTATACAGCGTCTCCTGACCACCCTATTAGAGGTGGTCTGGCAGTGTATTATACAGCGTCTCCTGACCACCCTATTAGAGGTGGTCTGGCAGTGTATTATACAGCGTCTCCTGACCACCCTATTAGAGGTGGTCTGGCAGTGTATTATACAGCGTCTCCTGACCACCCTATTAGAGGTGGTCTGGCAGTGTATTATACAGCGTCTCCTGACCACCCTATTAGAGGTGGTCTGGCAGTGTATTATACAGCGTCTCCTGACCACCCTATTAGAGGTGGTCTGGCAGTGTATTATACAGCGTCTCCTGACCACCCTATTAGAGGTGGTCTGGCAGTGTATTATACAGCGTCTCCTGACCACCCTATTAGAGGTGGTCTGGCAGTGTATTATACAGCGTCTCCTGACCACCCTATTAGAGGTGGTCTGGCAGTGTATTATACAGCGTCTCCTGACCACCCTATTAGAGGTGGTCTGGCAGTGTATTATACAGCGTCTCCTGACCACCCTATTAGAGGTGGTCTGGCAGTGTATTATACAGCGTCTCCTGACCACCCTATTAGAGGTGGTCTGGCAGTGTATTATACAGCGTCTCCTGACCACCCTATTAGAGGTGGTCTGGCAGTGTATTATACAGCGTCTCCTGACCACCCTATTAGAGGTGGTCTGGCAGTGTATTATACAGCGTCTCCTGACCACCCTATTAGAGGTGGTCTGGCAGTGTATTATACAGCGTCTCCTGACCACCCTATTAGAGGTGGTCTGGCAGTGTATTATACAGCGTCTCCTGACCACCCTATTAGAGGTGGTCTGGCAGTGTATTATACAGCGTCTCCTGACCACCCTATTAGAGGTGGTCTGGCAGTGTATTATACAGCGTCTCCTGACCACCCTATTAGAGGTGGTCTGGCAGTGTATTATACAGCGTCTCCTGACCACCCTATTAGAGGTGGTCTGGCAGTGTATTATACAGCGTCTCCTGACCACCCTATTAGAGGTGGTCTGGCAGTGTATTATACAGCGTCTCCTGACCACCCTATTAGAGGTGGTCTGGCAGTGTATTATACAGCGTCTCCTGACCACCCTATTAGAGGTGGTCTGGCAGTGTATTATACAGCGTCTCCTGACCACCCTATTAGAGGTGGTCTGGCAGTGTATTATACAGCGTCTCCTGACCACCCTATTAGAGGTGGTCTGGCAGTGTATTATACAGCGTCTCCTGACCACCCTATTAGAGGTGGTCTGGCAGTGTATTATACAGCGTCTCCTGACCACCCTATTAGAGGTGGTCTGGCAGTGTATTATACAGCGTCTCCTGACCACCCTATTAGAGGTGGTCTGGCAGTGTATTATACAGCGTCTCCTGACCACCCTATTAGAGGTGGTCTGGCAGTGTATTATACAGCGTCTCCTGACCACCCTATTAGAGGTGGTCTGGCAGTGTATTATACAGCGTCTCCTGACCACCCTATTAGAGGTGGTCTGGCAGTGTATTATACAGCGTCTCCTGACCACCCTATTAGAGGTGGTCTGGCAGTGTATTATACAGCGTCTCCTGACCACCCTATTAGAGGTGGTCTGGCAGTGTATTATACAGCGTCTCCTGACCACCCTATTAGAGGTGGTCTGGCAGTGTATTATACAGCGTCTCCTGACCACCCTATTAGAGGTGGTCTGGCAGTGTATTATACAGCGTCTCCTGACCACCCTATTAGAGGTGGTCTGGCAGTGTATTATACAGCGTCTCCTGACCACCCTATTAGAGGTGGTCTGGCAGTGTATTATACAGCGTCTCCTGACCACCCTATTAGAGGTGGTCTGGCAGTGTATTATACAGCGTCTCCTGACCACCCTATTAGAGGTGGTCTGGCAGTGTATTATACAGCGTCTCCTGACCACCCTATTAGAGGTGGTCTGGCAGTGTATTATACAGCGTCTCCTGACCACCCTATTAGAGGTGGTCTGGCAGTGTATTATACAGCGTCTCCTGACCACCCTATTAGAGGTGGTCTGGCAGTGTATTATACAGCGTCTCCTGACCACCCTATTAGAGGTGGTCTGGCAGTGTATTATACAGCGTCTCCTGACCACCCTATTAGAGGTGGTCTGGCAGTGTATTATACAGCGTCTCCTGACCACCCTATTAGAGGTGGTCTGGCAGTGTATTATACAGCGTCTCCTGACCACCCTATTAGAGGTGGTCTGGCAGTGTATTATACAGCGTCTCCTGACCACCCTATTAGAGGTGGTCTGGCAGTGTATTATACAGCGTCTCCTGACCACCCTATTAGAGGTGGTCTGGCAGTGTATTATACAGCGTCTCCTGACCACCCTATTAGAGGTGGTCTGGCAGTGTATTATACAGCGTCTCCTGACCACCCTATTAGAGGTGGTCTGGCAGTGTATTATACAGCGTCTCCTGACCACCCTATTAGAGGTGGTCTGGCAGTGTATTATACAGCGTCTCCTGACCACCCTATTAGAGGTGGTCTGGCAGTGTATTATACAGCGTCTCCTGACCACCCTATTAGAGGTGGTCTGGCAGTGTATTATACAGCGTCTCCTGACCACCCTATTAGAGGTGGTCTGGCAGTGTATTATACAGCGTCTCCTGACCACCCTATTAGAGGTGGTCTGGCAGTGTATTATACAGCGTCTCCTGACCACCCTATTAGAGGTGGTCTGGCAGTGTATTATACAGCGTCTCCTGACCACCCTATTAGAGGTGGTCTGGCAGTGTATTATACAGCGTCTCCTGACCACCCTATTAGAGGTGGTCTGGCAGTGTATTATACAGCGTCTCCTGACCACCCTATTAGAGGTGGTCTGGCAGTGTATTATACAGCGTCTCCTGACCACCCTATTAGAGGTGGTCTGGCAGTGTATTATACAGCGTCTCCTGACCACCCTATTAGAGGTGGTCTGGCAGTGTATTATACAGCGTCTCCTGACCACCCTATTAGAGGTGGTCTGGCAGTGTATTATACAGCGTCTCCTGACCACCCTATTAGAGGTGGTCTGGCAGTGTATTATACAGCGTCTCCTGACCACCCTATTAGAGGTGGTCTGGCAGTGTATTATACAGCGTCTCCTGACCACCCTATTAGAGGTGGTCTGGCAGTGTATTATACAGCGTCTCCTGACCACCCTATTAGAGGTGGTCTGGCAGTGTATTATACAGCGTCTCCTGACCACCCTATTAGAGGTGGTCTGGCAGTGTATTATACAGCGTCTCTTGACCACCCTATTAGAGGTGGTCTGGCAGTGTATTATTCAATTATGTCAACTAATTCTTTTGTTATCATATGATTTACATTTTTTTATCTTTTCATCTGTTAATTTCATGTAAAGATATTGTCCACAAATGTTGAAGCTACAGGGCCACTGTTAGTATCATCTCATGGTCACTGAACCTTTCTAGTCTGAATGACAGTTTAGAACATATATACTTGATACCAGAAAATTTCTTTCAAATATAAAATATCACTGGAACTCGACAAATTTATTTTAAGGATACCCGTACCACTACCAAAAAATGTAAAGACTCATCGAAATCTTTCTTCCGTCATGACTGTAGCTTGGTAAGTCATTTTTGAAAAGAAAAGCATACCTAGCTTGCAGAACTTTTCAGAGAAAAATCAAAAGGATAA